TGCTTATATCTCATTTATTTTTCGGCCTATTTTTTTTTTTAATTTTGTGTTTACGTTTATTGAATGCAGATGCAGTTTTATGTCAAAAATGTATTGGTTGTTGTAATCTTTAATTTTAAATCTATATTATTTCACGCGAGGTAGTTAGTTGAAAATTTTGAAAAAAATCAAGTATTACGTTGAAATAAAGTATTCCGTGGAAGAAAAGTTTAATTCTCTTTCAGAAATCTGCTCTTGAAGTGCTAGACAAAATAATGCGTTGAAAACAAACTTATTAGCCATGAAAACATTTACAGGTTTTTTTCTTTAAAATTTTTGGTCAACCCTGAGAGAACAATTAATTTTCTCGCATTTTTGTCACTTTAAAAGTTTCAACTTTATTATGCTTGCTTTAAAATGCCTGAAATTTCATTCTTTTCGAGAAAACAGATAATCTTTGTATGGAGAATGTCACACAAATATTCCCGATACGATTCGAGTTCTGAGACAAGGGTTTGCGGAAGAAAATCTGACAAAATTCAGAGTTAAACATGTGCATAATTTATTTGGAGATACCGATATTGTTCGTGAACCAACAAGAGTTCGTAATAAGCGGGTAATGAAGTGAACAAAAATCTAGAGATTAGTACAAGATCTTTGGCGAGACAATTAGAAATTCAAATTTCAGCAATTTCCATTCAGCGTATTTTAAAAAAGATTAAATATCATCCATACAATATTTCTTTACACCAAGAACTCTCGGAAGAAGTGATAAGAAAAATAGGCTAAATGTTTGTAGAAATATGTTAAGAATAATCCATGGTGATACAAATTATCTTTTTTCAATATTATTTTCGGATGAGTCTTCTTTTAGAAGTAATAGCGTGGTAAACCGTCAAAATATACATTACTGGTCAGTTGTACAGTCCGGAATTTCGCCGATAACGCGTGGGGATGGCGTGTTTTGGTGCCAAGCCTAGGGCCGACTAGTGCCGCTGAAATAGAAACACGTCCGGCTGACCTATGCTTATGCGGACACCTTCACGCTAGCGGACGTGGCGCCTTCGGTCGGGAGCGGCGGTCGCTCGAGCGTCAGCGTTCTCTCCAGGGGAAAGAGCACCGGGGTTGCTCTCAAGCCGGAGACAGAGATCTCCAGGTGGTGAGTGCTCGCGAAAATAAGAAAATAAAATAAAACAGAAATAAATATTTTACAACAAATCGGGTTTATTCCCTGCCACCAGCTACACGGCTAAAATAATAAATCTTACGTCTAATCTTAACTAATCGGTTTTAAAAACAAAAATGAACAAAAAGAATTAAGCGTCCGGCACAGTCGTTCTCTTCTGCGTGCTGCTCGACGGTTTCGACTTTTGACGGTGACGACAAAGGAACACGGTGGCGGCGGTACGGTTTTTGGCTCGGGGGCAGCGATTCAAAACCGGTACACACACAGGCAAAAAACCCAAAACGGTACTTACGGTGCTCGGTTCTTTCAGGGCTCTGCACAATCTAAAATTCAAACTCCAAGAACAGCCACAGCACAGCCACCACACTTCTTCCTCTTCGAAAACTTCAAGAAGCAATCTTCTTCTTCCGCCGCGTCGGCGCGGCGATCGTGGATTTCCCCCGACTCTCTCATTACCCGTCCCGGTTTCCGGCCGAGAAAATTCGCTTCGTTACAGCATGTTTAACTCAGATTTTCTTCCGGAAGCCGATACGTCAGAACTTGAATAATATCAGAAATACTTCTGCGACATTCTCTTTTCCCAAAAAATTTAAATTTCAGTCATTTTAAAACAAACACAAAGTTGGAACTCCAAAAGTGACAAAAGCGTAGCACAATTAGTTGTTCCGTCAGAATTGACTAAAAATTTTAAGGAAAAACATGTGAATGCTTTCATGGCAAAATTTGTTTTTAGCGCAATAATTAAAATCCTTTTTTTTGCCACACCAGGAGCAGATTCCTCAAAGAGGAATAAACTTTTCGGAAATTTCCTTCCACGGAATACTTTATTTCAACGTAGTACTTTGTTTTCTTCAAAATTTTCAACTACCTCACGTGAAATAATAGATTTAAAATTAAAGATTACAACAACCAATAAATTTTTGACATAAATCGGAATCTGCATTCTTCAATAAACGTAAATACAAGATTTTTAAAAAATCGGCCGAAAAATAAATGAGATATAAGCACTGAAAATCTTAGGTGAAACACCCGGTATTGTATTACGTATGAGATAATTATATACAATATCTTATAAGCTAAAATTACGACATGACACTAGCAAATTTGTAGCAAGATTCAAATTTCTAACCCTAAATAGTATTTCTGCCCTTCTCGAATTTATTGCTTTAAGAACAATGCCGTAATCTCCTGAAATTTTGCGGTCTGAAAACGGACCAGAATTCCGTCAAAAGTATCCACGCACCTAATTATAGACATGTAAGCAATTTTGAAATATGTTTATGATGGTGTAAGTACAATAACAACAATCAAAATCAATAACTGCAGTATCAAAATCGTCTTCAAAAATGTGGCTAGTCTCATCATCATTGACATCAATAATAAATTCTTGAAATTCTGATCACACATACGTGTTTTCAACTTATTACATGTTCAATGCAGTTCCTTGTACGAGTCTTGGGAACTTCTTGTGTGATCATCACCTCAAGCGCTTAATCTTAGAGTTTTATTATTTTTTCTTATTTTAATTTTTACATTGCTCGTATATTTTATATGTCCGTAGTCATTGACAAGTTAATCTACAATATATTACGGGGGAATGTTTAATCCTTTGACAATTAATAGATTTCAATAGATCATTTTTTGTTACTTTATCTTCTTGAATATCGATATCGTTGTCTTTCATGTATTTAATTATGTGCATAACTATGACCGAAGTCAATAATTCTTTCTGAAACCATTTAATTCAAATAAATTTGTTTTATTTTCTTCTCGAAATTTTCTGATTTGATTGATACTTAAAAACGGATTGTAAAACTACTGTTTGCAGATTCCGAACCTGTGCAATACCCAATTATTCCTTAATTCCGACCATCTTTGTCGGGATATTTAACTTTGTCAAAATAGGATCCTGCTATATAATAGAGTTTATGGGCTGAAACAGAAGAATGCATTCTTTGTGGGAAAATCTTGTAATTCTCTGTTCTGGAAATCTCGCGTGTTTGGGGGTCCAGGATACCTTTACATTATTCTGGGCTTTCACTGCTACAGACGCCACAGTTACATATTTTTTATTGTCAATATAGAAGATTGAGATGATATTATCTAATGACAAAAAATTTGTCCGTTGATAAGAAATCCCCAAAACTCAGTGGTAATCATAATCAACATCAACATTACCTTAGTAATTGACAAAACTGTAGTAATCAATGTAAATTTCTATAGGCAGTTGATAATAAACTTTACAAAACCTTCACCATCTGAAAATGCACTCAAACAAATATTCGCTAATGTGCTCATTGTGGTGTGTTATTGCATTTTCTTAGAGACCCCGTCGATACTGATAACTTTTTGTAGAAAAGTAACTTCGATGAATATAGAGTAGCTAATTCTTTCATTCCTATGCACTCCTTTCAGCGATGTTTTATATAAATTTTACGATATTCGACGAGGAAGGTAACTTCTGAGAGAAGTTTAAATTGACAGAATCTGTTCTTACTTGTACGCATATAGAGTTGAAAGATTGCTCAACTGGGATAAACTCCACAAGTTATGTAATTACTTGCAAAAGGTGTAGGATGTTGCAGATTGATATTTCCGACTTGTCGTTGTATAGTAGTGTGGGTGTAACAGTGAAAACTCCTTCCGGTTTTCTAATAAGGAAAGAGCTGATTAATATGCGCGAAATGTTGTTAAAGTGTATTGGAGTATAGTTATAAAACCTAGTTAGTTCAGAATTAATCTTCGAACCGTTAGATTTTACTCTCTAAAACTGTGCCTACCTGAAATGCGAAAGATTTTTGAACAATATATTAAACCATTAATCTTGTTCGAGTTATGAGTGGAATAGAGAAAATCATCCTCTCTTCATATATCAATTACCTTTCTCATTCCCAAAAGCCTTCATAATTTTAAAAGTTGTCGAGTTTTATAGACGTTACGGCACTCCGTACCGAGAAATGTAGATGAAGTTTTGTTGAAATAGTTAGTCTTATTATCCAACTCCAACAAGTTTAACCATTTAAAATTATGAACTCGCATCAGCGCTGCAAGAAGAAATGGTCATAAAATCTCTCTAACTCCCTCCCCCTCGGCAAACTTGACAGACAAGAACCGTCTCCTATTCTAATCCCCTGTGATTTTTCACCCTTTTAACTACAAGGGTTAATTCCATGTTGTTATCAGCACCTTTCTGACTCATTACCCCGTTCCGTGCCGTAAAAGAAAAAGAAAAACTAAGAAGAAGCCTCCCTTATCCTCGTCGCCGCTTCAAACTCGTTTTTAATGCGACTTTAATCGCATGACGTCCCTTTCGCTAAACTTGGAACAGTTAATTATCGCAAAGGAAGAAACGAAGCGATAATTACAACTAACATGGACCGTTGAAACAATTATTGCCGTAGTCTGTTCGTTAATTGAAAGGTGTTTTGAGGGTAAAAGCTCTCGATTCGCCTCTGTAAAATCAGGAGAGGAATTCTCGTTGCTTTTGTGGTAAAACGGACAAAGGTATTCGCAGCATTTATTTTCACAGTTTAAATAAGGATCATACGCTTTTAGCGCATGTGGAGGCGGGGGCGGGGAGAACGCTTTTTTGAATGGCCGCCGGTTGCGGAATTCTGTACAGGAACTTGTAGTTTTGTGTTTCAAATCAGACAACTCCATTTGGTGGAGGAAATTGAGACGAGGCTTTTTAGTACGTGTGAAGTGTACGAGGGGAAAGTTGGGAGCGTTAAGTTTGGATTTGTGTTAGGTTTGGTTTCGCGTTTGATGGAGTGGGTTTTTTTATTAGACGAACTTTGCATGGAATAAAGTTTTAATGATGCTTGTTTTGTTTCAGGTAAGACGTGGACTCCGTGGAATTCAAGGACCCATTCCGTTTCCCAAATTCGGTTAGTGTTGCCCAGTTTGTTGACTATGTTATGTTTGTTGAGTCTTTGTTGGCAAGTAAAGGTGTTTTTATTTCTTCAAAAGCAGTTCGAGTGTTTTCTTTGATAACAACCTTTGATGTTTCCGAAGCGGTTAGTTTGAGAAATGCGATTTCTTTAGTGAGTTAAAGTCAAACCTACACCAGATTTAGTAAGTTTAAGAAACATCGAAAGCAAAAATGTTAAAAAAAATCTAATTAAAGCTGGACACAAGGCACAGGTGAAAGCTTAAATAAATAAGTTAGTAAAAGATATTTGCTGAATTTAAGTCAAAATGGCAGTTTATCAATACAATACAAACAGTAAACAGTAAGAAAAAGAGAAAAAATACAAAACTTCAAAGAATCATGTTTAAAAAACGAATAAGACATGAACTCTGCAAATACCTCAAGTTCCATTCCGATCTGCAACTTCTGTTAGTTTTGTTGACTATGCTAATATAGTTGCCAGAAATTGCTGGCAAATAAAGATGTTTCCATTTCCAGAAAATCTCTTAAATGTTTTCTTTGACAACAGCATTGTGTAGCACGATTTGTGTGAGAAAATATGTAAAAATTTAGATTGTTAGTGGGAAAAAGCATAGTTATGGAAGCACTTGGTGTTGTTCCATAAGCAATAATGTGGAAAAGGCGAAAAGTCATTATTGTCGAACGTAATTTGTCCCGATGATGTGTTCAAAGAGATTTAATGGATGAAAGGTGATTATGTGTATGAATTAATTTGTAATTATGCAAGTAATCGAATATTCTGGGATAATGAATAATTAAATTTGCGCATCTGTAGGTTAAATTTGTTACACTCTAGAACAAAATATCGAATTTTATGTCATTAGTACAATAAAAGTGATATACAGGGTTATGATAAAGTAAAGTACAAAATTCATGAAAAGCGCAGCATTTTCATTTTACTAGTCATCTTTTGACATATGTATGTCGAAACAGTTTTACGTCAAATTTGTAAAACTTATGACGTCATCAATGATGTTTGTTAAAAAAGACGCTATAATTTTGATGGGATTATTTGATAAAATTTATTTTTTTACGTAAGAAAATGTCGCTTGATATAGGGGTTGCATAGCGAAAAAAAAATGGAGAAAATTAAAACAAACGAACTAAATATGATATGAACATGAAACAAAATGAAATCCAAATAACTTTAAGGATTAAGGATTTGTTTGGATAATCAATTTGAAGGAATAGAATGGCCACCTAGGTGCCCGGATCTAACACCTCTTTTCTCAAGTTTATTGTTACGTAACCCCTAGATAAAACTACATTTTTATATTCTGAAACATAAACTTTATCAAATAATGCAATCATAATTATACGTTCCTATTTAAAAAATGCATCGATGACGTCATAACTTTTACAATTCCACGTAAAATTGTTTTGAGCATGTCAAAAGATGGACAGTAAAATACAAAGCTTAAAGTGTTTTTGCATTTTTTTCAAAAAGAAATGCTGCGCTTTTTATGAATTTTGTGCATTACTTTGTCATAAGTCATAACCCTGTATATATTCTTTTAGTAGAGGCTACTAGCGTAGAAAATGAACGCATGTTTAACAAACAATATGTAATTACTGCTTCTGCGATTATTAAAATATGCTGGTTCTAAAACGACTAGAACTTACAAAAATCGTTTCGAAGCGTCATCCTCGATATTTGGAAAACACCTTTCATTTATTCGTTCATCTTTTCCTACTGTGCTTTTATTGAACATGGTACGAATTCCGATTATTATTAAAGATAGCATATAACGGAAAAATCTTAGAATCAAATCTGCTTCTAAGCAAAAGGTGTCTATGCATTTACACGAGCCTGGAGTTTGTTTTAAGTTACCAATAATAATAGTAACGTGGGGTAAACTACAAACGAGTGTGCGATTGTAAAAGCACAAAATTAGTACATTAAGTCAGTTAGTAAAATTTACAAACGTACAACTGTGAGATAGAACAGTAGTGTTTTAAAATATATTCCAACTTGACGTTCGCTGTCGATAAACGTCGGTTTTGCACTATAGCTTATCAAACAACTAAAAATGGTACAAAATAATGAATCAGTGTTACTTGGCATTGGTGACGTTCTGTCTTTGGATCTTAAATTTCCGTTTATCCGACAAAGAAAGATTGTAACGAATAATGTTTTAAGTACATGTCACTGGTCCTTACGGAAATGAATTTTAGATTGTTATGCAACTTGGGATTCGCAAGGAAGGCAAAAAGTCCTTCTTTGACTAGTTTGACTAATTAAACGATCGTCATAAAATTCTCTCCGAAAGTTCAAACTTGTTTGAGCTGTATGAGCTGTTGCTGAAAATATCCATTCTGCATTTTTCAGAATTAATTTGGTCAATAAATTCTTGCAGCATGTTCTGATATCTCCCAGTTGTAATTGACTTTTCCGGGTGTAATACCGTTTCTTCAAAATACTGAAGATTTTCTGCACTCTACATCTTCATGTTTTGCAAATTTAAACACTCAAACAGAGGAAACGTTTCACCAGTAAAAATGTTTTAAGCAGATCATTTTTTTAAGTTTAAGTTCATCAAAACACCTACATTTTGTAGGGAAATATCGGGTCTTTTTTAACAATTTTCTGACAAGTTAAGAATACCAAGTCAACTTGCTGCGAAAGCTTTCTAATCATTTCTAACCTATTGGACATTTTCAAGAGCCTCGGGACTTCGTTTTGTTATGTGCGACTTCCTGACTGCCTCTTAATGCTACCAGTCTCATGTAATATCTCGTAGAGCTCATTGTTCTGAATTCATTAACGTATGATACTCCAGTTACCCATATTCCGCTGCTGTCTATGATTCGAACGCATTATGGTACACACAATATCACACAACAGGGATGGCTCTTGAGTTGACAAGTTGATGAACTAAAATACAAGATATCTAAATACCGAAAAAAATATATTGTCGTGCAGTTTTTAAGAGTTCACGTGGACATTTTTCACAAAAAATGAAATTTTAGAAACATTAAGCAAGTCGAAAATGTGTAATTTTTCTCTGTGGGAAAATCTCGTTTGTATTGGATTAATGAAAATATCAAGAATTTCGAAAAAGATTTGCCTTAATTTCTGCTGTTGTTTCATTCATTTCACGTGGTTTACAACGTTTCGACAGTAAAATAGCAATGACAAATTTTCCATGAATGTTGAAAAATGGTCACGTCTAAATTAGCGTAATTTATCTAAAGTTGTTTGCAATTCCTAGCTCGAAAAATATCTGTGAACGAACTTACGGTGCAAAAGATAAATCAGTTTGTGGAAAATTTAATGCGAAAGCACGGAAAATTAGGCTAACGCCAAGTTTTCCTTTTTTCAGCATATACTGCTTATGAGTGCATTACGGACAGCCTATGTATTAAAGACTGTCAATTTTGTATTCGGAGGTTATTAGACATAATTATGTCTAATTATTATGGGAACAGTAAATACCCACCTACCAAAATACGAATAGCAATAATTTTTCACTTTTACTTTTGAAATATTATTAGAAAATAAAAACATTTTATTGGTCAGAAATTTGTGGGTTAGAAGTAATTAAAATAATAAAACCGCGCAAAGTCATTGCTGAGGTATTGCCTGAGCTGCCTCATAGGACAAACCGCCCCTGGAAACCGATTAACAATTGATTCAAGAATATGAATGCATTAATAAAAGACAAGGTTATGGCTGCATTTCTAGCTAGTTTTCTCATTTAAACATTATTCCACTAGAGTCACTAATGTTGATACCGACACGAGCACTGGAATACAAATAATAAAACCCTAGGGTGTACCGTTTTTCCAATCTAAGCAATAAAAAAATAAGGTGAACCTTTCTTGAGTTAATCAATAAAAAAAATAGACAATAAGAGTAGCAGTTTAAGCCAAAAAAAGGAAGCCACCCACTACTCCCCGCTTCGAATGTGAGACCTTGGGGTTAGAAGGCAGAGACGAACTCAACACCGCCAGGGAAACGTAATTGGACTACTTACAAAAGGTAATCATACACAATGGATTTTTTTTTGCGAAAATTTGCATGTGTAGGGGCAAAACTCAAAACAGAGTCGTTCACTACAAATGTGGAAGTATATTATTGAATAATATTGAAATCATTTTAAAATAGAAATTTTTTTGAGATGACGTCCTCAAATTCTTGGTGGGATGACTAACCTAATTTTGGTTAGCCTTTTACCATCTACATGATGTTCCTAATATACACACAAAATTTGACAGCAATCGGTCTAGTAATAATAAAAATTGACTCAGACGACAGACACATGGAAACGGGAGACCACTTTTTTCAAATTTACTTTCAAAACGCTAGGGCAATTCTTCCTCAGATCGTCCGGAACTAATACAACATAATTATGAATGACAATAAACTGATCTGTGCTTTCGTCGAACAGCATGAAAAAATAAAGATTTAGAAATTTTCTACTTCCTTATTCAAAGTAAATACAGCAGAAAAGGAAGATTTATATGATTTATAATTTATAATAATTTTATCTAACATCATTACCATTTTCCGTAAAAGTTATTACATTTATTGTATTTAAACATAGTTGATTAACTGATAATTAATTTACTGATAGTATGTTCTTGTTTGTTGTCACAACAGATACTCTTTCAGTAGCCATAGAGCTCTCGTCTACGTAGGTATAGTGGTCCAACTCTGACTTCGTTTTTATGGCATTGCAATCTCAATTACCGCAAATATTAGGAACTCTATTGAAAATGTAAATAGCCGTGCCATAAATCATCTTAAAGGTGTACGGGCGCATACGGCCCTATGTAGTGTAGACAGTTGGTCCCTTGATGGTTTATGAGCGCTGGATTACATACGGCAGAGGTCTATTGTAGAACGCTTAACTCCTTCACAATAGGATACAGTCATAAAAACGAACCAGCAGTTGGAGCACTATACAGTGGAATATTTTATTTGACGTATGTTGTGTAGATCCATTTACATGTAGTAAGAATAAGATAGAACCCAGAATTGAGCCTTGAGGGATTATGGCCAAACTCCTCTGAGATTAGTCCGTTGAAACACACTTG